ATGTCATAAATTATTTTCTCCATAGTTTTCCTTCCTATTATAGTTTTACGTCCGAAGAACGATAGTACTGTTGAAGAGCTTTTTGGAAAGATGCAAAATTCAAGGTTTTTTCAAAATGCCAGGATCTAAGAAAAACGCAATCTTTCTTTTTCATTTAGAGGCTGCTAGAAAGGCATGACTTGTCCGTTCCAAAATTTATCAGATAAAGTAAATATGTCGAAGACAACGTACCGAATATAACGCGCTCATCGTAGAAAATTCAGGAAAGTGATGAAATTGTATCCAAGTCAGAGGCAGATATTCTCAAACATGATTGGTAGGACCTATGCAAAATTTTCACATCTATCAGATAAAGCTGACAGTTGGGAATTTGAATTGTTTCATGCAGAGTTATGAGAGTCTTTCGCGTCATTTTCATGTGTGCACCCTGTAGAGCGCACTTAACTGAAAGGTCTGAAGGGCGGACTAATCTGGGTCACAAAAGGGGACTTATCGCTTTGAGAGTAGCTGATATCTTGTACATTCTATCGTTGACTCAAAGCAACCTTTCTTTTCGCTCCAAAGCACATTTCATCGCAAACTGGATATGATGACCATGAGGATCACGTACTCTTCTCGGCTGATTCCAAATTCATCAAATAGAATAAAAAACTGGAGAGAACCTGAGTCAAAATGATCATGCACTTGTAAAAGGGGGCTTCTTTCCCATTTTTGGACTACACAATGATCAAATGTTTAAGACTATGTGCATGAAAGAACTTGAACTATTTTAAAGTCAATAATCGGTGGGTTTCATTATTGTCCTGCACTCTGAAGCTCATCAATGAGTCTCACATGGCTCAAAAATTGCTGCATCGTGCAGTTCCGAATTTGATTTTCCTGTGCGAATAATCTGAAAATTACCGACGAATATTGCACTTGATTTTTTAGAGGCACAGAAAGTGCTTACCCGAGCCCTTTCTCTCCACACCCCATCATTACGTCTTCGAGAATCAGCACTATCGTCGCTCGCCTCCGTACACTACCTGCTCGGGGACTTTGTCCAAGCAACCCATTGCTATCAGCAGCAGCTCGAAATACGTCTGCAACTGGGTGGGGCTCATCATTTTTCAACGTTCTGACAAGAGCCATTCGTCTCTTCTTAGGTGGACCACCCGCAGAGGTTCTCGACAATGTGGCAATGAGCGCAGAAGCTGCCGGAAATCATGCTCTAGCACTGACATACCGAAAACAAATGCTGGAGGTTTTATTTCAATTTCAAAGGTGAACAAAAAAGATTTCATTCAGCATCTGAGTGGCGTACCACTGGCAAAAGAAAGGCTGAAAATTGCGAAACTGCACAGTTGTTTGAACCAGGCAGGGGAAGCCCTAGAAGAATACGTGTCTATAGAAAAGTCGATTCCTTTTATGGATGAAGGTGACAAAGAGGATCTAGCAATGCAGATACGGATAGGAAAAGGAGTCATCTACGGCTTGATGGTGAGTCATGTTTTAATTTATAAAAACAATGATTTTTATTTCTGCTCTGACAATAGAAAGAGCCAAAAGGAAACCTTCTAAATGTAAATGATGACTGAGCCTTCTGAGATTTTTCGTATTACTTATTTCTCTTGATATCTATTCACTTTACAAGGCGC